TAAATTAAAAGAGCCAATTATATAATGACACATCTATAAACTTATAATGTCACATGGTATTATAATTACAATAATTTTATTTCTTTTTCAATCATTTGCTTTTCTTTCTTTAGAATGTTTTAGTGCATTTATTGCTTGAATTTTGGACTAATTAAGAATTTCCTTAATTGCCCAGAAACGATAAATATGGGAGGATGATAGAAAGCATTGTCTAAGAAGAGGTAAGTGACGAACATATGATATATTATGCACTAGGAACTGCTACTTGTAACAACTCTACGCACTAAAATATTCTCCAGGGACAAAAAATTTCAATCCTACTGCCTGCAACCATAGGAAAGTTATGTCAGTGAAAGAAAATAGGTACCTGGATAGAAGTACTAACTAGAATTTAGTAAATTTTTTGCATGATGCACTACCAAAGTAGGTTGACATAACAAAAAATCAAATCCAAAGCATTTCCAACTACTTGAAGCACTTTTCACATCACTAAAATATCATTTAACGAATTCTATGTTAGATATGATCACTTTGGTAATTAGATTCAGTTTGCCATCTGGACAACTCTGTATTGTTTAATGCAGTTCTCTATGCCAAAAAAACAAAAACTACTTAATGAGGATTGACGCGCCATCTTTCCTCGAGAAACACTTCAGTGTAGACTAAGCCAAACGGCATTTATTGAGAGTATTAAGGTATCTACATGCAGTTCAGCATAGATCAATCCTAACCCCCCATTAGAGTCTAAAGGCACCTATCAATGATGTCTACATTAAAACATGGCACAATTTCAACCAATGGGTGCCTAAGGAACTTTAGGCCATGTTTGATTCAATGGAATTACTATTTGTTGGTCAATGAATGAAATAAGATAAAATGAAGTGCTTGACACTCCAGAAATAAGCTGGGAAATGTTGCTCATTTTCCTTTTTAGATTTTGGAGTGTGATAGGAATAGCCATTGTTAACTACCTTCTTCACAGGTTTTAATAATTCCTATCTCATTCACTAATTTATAAGAAAATATCCAACCTTATTCTTATCTTCTAGACTTTGAAAGACCCTTCTTTATTTTGCTTTATTTTTACATATTGAACAAGGAATAGTCATTCCATCCAATTGAACAAGAAAAAGAAATTGAGTGTACTCCAATAAATTGTGTTAATCACTATATAGCTTTTGTAGGCCAAATCAGTGTAACAGCTAAGATGAACCATTTTGTATTATAGTCTTAACTTAACAGAATAATGAAATGGAAGCCATCTTATCAAATAGAAAAATAAAAATTTAAAGAATATATGACAAATAAAAATAATGCTTTAAAACAGATTTTTGAAATATACCTCTGCAAATTTTGCATGGGCATTGCTCATCATTTGGTCTTCCCACAGCATCACCAACATAATGGATCCACAATGCAGGAAAAGAAAAGTTTTGACATATCATTGTTCTTATGTTAAAAAGTAGAGAAAACAGATGGAGATTGTAATTAGTCAGAGAAATGCAAATGAAGTAACCTGGATTGGGACCTTCACTTGATGAAATTGTTGAGATGTCCAGTTTTGGAGTCCACAGCTATCTGTTTACTTATTCTTCCAGCATTCAATATTGTACTCTACTCATTGGTAAAGATTAACTGCTAATGGTAGAAACTGAGTTTCAATTTCCTGTTAAAAAGAATAGTCAATAAGTAAGGGCAGGTGAATGAAAACTCAGAGAAAATAACGTGGGACATTCGGAAGGAAGATAAACAAAAACCAGCTTCTATCCATCATTATATAGTCTGCACTGTCTCTGGTAATGATGTATAATACCAGCCAATTTACTGCTTATTGTATCTTGACACTTTTTCCCAATAATTAAAAGCTCTTGAAAACCTATTTGAGAAAGCAAAAAGGGATAAAATGATAATTATAACTCAAAATTAGGAGGTGCTTGAGGAGTTAAATATTGGGAAAAAATTAGTAAAATTGAATTTCAGATAGAATATAGGTTTCTTTTTAGACTTAGTCATTTGGTATAGAGTTAGTAGAATCGAATCTCAGAAGTAGACTAATTTCATTAGTTTAATTTTAACTTGCTAAATCATTTCCTAGAGCAAGTCCATAAACATTTCACTGAAGACGGTAGACTGTGTCAACATTTATTTGCATTAATCTCAAGTAACAAACTAACAAAATAAGAAAAATGTCGTTGGCAGGTCATGCTCATATTCTACAGTGAACCCAACTAAGACCTTTTATCTTTTAGGGGTTGTTTACTTGAATTTTTTTTTCCTGTTTTCTCCATTTGACTATAAAACCTGTTCTCACAAGAAAATCTAAAAAAGATAAGTCCTTACGTACTACAATTCATATAATCTTTGGCTAGTTACTGCATCTTTTTAATTTTTTCTATCCATCTCATGAACCAGGTCTAAGTTCCACGAGGTCAAATCATTGTTCTTCTCCCTTGTTCTACTTAACCATTCGTACCCCAACACCCAACCTTCTAAAGATTATCTTCACTTTTCATCTTACCTTCTCTTTTATGACCAAATATTAATCTAAACATTCTGATTTCAGCTAAGTCATCCAGTGATTAAGCTCTCTTACTACTTAGTTCCTTAAACTATAGTTGGTTTTATAGCTAATTTACAGAAACTTCCCTTACAACTTGGTGGAAAACTTAGAATTACATATATCTCTGGGAAACTAACAATATTACTGCTAACATCATCTTTAGGTTTTCCATCTTGATGAATTACTAAGCTAAATTATCATGCTAAGGAATTTTTTAACCATCAAATCAAACATCCCACCTTCAATTTCATTTTTATTAAAATTATAATCAATGTACTGTATTGTAGTCCACTTACCTAAGAACTTCTGATTAACCCTTCAATTCAAGCATTGGCATAATAGATTAATGTCTGTGATATCATCAGAGATCTAAGGACTTAACAGAAAAAAACAGAGATGTAAAGTTAATCCATCAAGAGAGAAATTGTTAACTTCCTTGTTCATTCATCTAGTGGGCACCCGGCAATGCATGTCAGAACTATACATTTTCATAAAATGGTGATTAACAAACATCAGTTAACATATCTTTTAGCAGATGTTTTAGCCAGACGACCATCATAAAATCAGATGCTGCAATTTCTCTGAATCTTGGAGAGCATTATCCTACAAAATGATCAAACTAATCAATAGAAGAATGTCTCAAGTACTCCAAACCACTAAGTATGTGTCGGAAAACTTAAGGCAAGAACATCAGATCAGATGGCCATACTGCAAAACATAACCCTCGAACTTGAATGGAAATATGCAATTCCACCCACTTTCTTTTATTAATGAATTCCTAACACTTCTGTTTTGGTGTCACTGAGCCCAATTATTATGAATTAAAACTGTAACATCAATTAAATTACTTGTTGGTGCTTAGGTGTACAAAAAAAATTAAAAACTTAAAAAATAATAATAATAAACCAATTGGAAGCCTTAATAGAAACCAATAACAACAGAATAAAAGCAAACCTTGAAAATTGTTGTGTTAGGAAAAGGAAAACACTATTTTTCCAAGTTCTGAAAACAAATATATTGATTAGAATCAATGGAAAGAGGATAAAATTTTAGGAGCCAAAACTCAATTTCACATCTTTGACAAGTTTGAGGGCACTATCTCAATCATTTGTATACCACCAAATAAGAACAAATAATGCAGATAATGCTAATTACCCAAAGAATAATGGCTAATCAAGAAAAATCAAAATATGCAAGATGAGAGCAGTTATTAAAAACAATGTATTTCCAATACTAGGGAAGCAGTCAAGCTGATCATTTTTACTTTTCATTCTAATACTATAAAACTGGAAACTCACCCTCTCAAGGTATATGATTGTTTGGAATGTAATGCAGCATAAAAAACAGATAAAGAGAGCAAATTCTTTGAATATTACAAGAAAAGAATCTCATTTAACTATGCTAATGCACACAATACATTCGAGTAACATGCATGCATCATTCCTTATACTTTGTCCAAGATATCAGACACTGAAGGGCTATTTTCAAACTCAGCTTTCTCATTAGGTGTTGACAAAGAGTAAACACAAAAAATTAAAGCAATAAGATTTCCATCTCAGGAAAACAGATATTGGAAACTCAAATATCCTTTACACATGAAAAATAACTTCAATGACTAATATCGGAAAAGAGGAGAGGATTAAAGAGAGAAAACAAAATTTCCCTTAAAAAGAGAAGCAAGGAGAAAAGGATAACCATCAGCACACCTTTATTTTCTTTGGATTTCTTTCCTCGTCATTGTCTTGGACTGCCCTCTGAACACAGTTAACATGATGATGCAAAATATCAGAGGTGGTTTTTTTTAAACTGATACAAATACAATCACAGAGATGGGGATTAAAAAGTTCATCTTGCAAAAAAAAAAAAAAGAAGAAGAAACCACTCAATCAGATACATAATGATCCAGTTTAAGCTCATTCTCCCTTGCAGGAATTAGCCTAGTCCAAATGTGGATTTAATTATTTGAGGAAAGACCCTATAACTTGTAGTTTGCTCACTGTCAGCAACCTAACCAAAAGAAATAGCTGCTCCTGATTTTCATTTTCCATTAGCAGCACATATCAAACAGGAATGTTGATGTTCTCATCACTCATTTCCATTTATTAGAGATAAATGCATTTAGATACCAACTAGACATTTCAACTGCAAAACCTAGTCAAAGCACAGAATGCAAGCATGGGGCAAAAATCAGAGAAAGCATTTGCATTTGTAACACAATCCAGCAACTCGAGGACAGGTCGGGTTGAATCTTGAGCCTGCGTTCATCCGGATCAGTCAATCAGACCACCCAAGGGCGAGAAAAAGAGTTCAGTCGGCGATGTCAAGAGAGTGGGGGAGTCCAGAGCGCAAAGGACGGTGGTGTCATCCGTCAGCCGTCCCGACCAGATCCGACATAACTGAGCCCCTCGCAGGCGATGCAATTGCAATTTTGCAACCCACATCCTTCAAATGCGTCCATTTCGGCATTGACTGGAATTTCAATTTCAACGGCTCGGAGAGTAGTACGGTAAAAGGAAGAAGATAACGTGTGCAGTCCACATATTAAAAAAGAAAAGAATTCCATTCATTCATTAAAACGCACCGTTAAAAGGAAGGCAATGGAAGAAAACTTGAAAAAGTGATAACATTGAAAACATTAAGTTTTTCGCCAGAATTCTCTACTAACATTTAAAAGACATAACAATCTCAGACAAAAAGGACAACTGCCTGCAGTTTCTGCAGCCAACTAATAAAGTTCATGCACACATTATTTTTGTCAGATCTTCTTGTAGGAAGAAAGAAAGCCAACTGCCTGCAGCTTCTGCTGTGGAAAGGAAAGCAAAATTACAAAATTATTACGACTATTCTATCCATTGTTGTGATTAGAAGGAGCACAAATAAAAAGAGGCTGTCGAAACTCACCTAAGAGCGTTGGTTGTGTTTTTGGGTTTTCCTCTTCTTTTGCCTGCGGGTGCACCTTCCAACAAATTTCTGTTGATATTTCTCCACCTTCTTCATCACCCACCATAGTGTTCCTGTTGTGAACACAATGTATCCCAGACTAAGTCTCAATACCAGTCCACACCCATATCCCACCAATGTAAACTTCCACTCAAAGAGTGCCGCAGAGTCACCTTCTTCATCAAATTTTGATGGAGGTGCTCCTGGTTCTTCCTCTTTGTGGCATTTCTTTGTCAATGGAAATCCACACAACCCAGAGTTCACAATGTAGGAATCATTTGAGAAAGTATTGAACTGCTTCCCTTGAGGAATGTCACCTTCAAGTTTGTTGTGTGAAAGCTTCAAAACTGAAAGGAATGTCAAACTTGTCAGCTCCTCAGGAATCCTACCATCAAGCTTGTTTGATGAGAGATCTAGTGATTCAAGCTCTGTTATTTTCCCCAAAGACGATGGAATTTGACGAGTGAGACTGTTGTGAGACAAGTTTAGCAAATGATGTGAATTGAGTGCGCCCAGCTCTTCAGGAATGTGTCCCTGGAATCTATTACTTGAAAAATCAATAGTTGAGAAAATTGTCAGGATTCTCTTCAGGTCCAACTTTAAACCTTTCACTATTACTATCACAGAATAATCGTAGTAATTATCAAAATGCAACAGCGACCATGACAATTAATTAATACACAAACAACACATGAACAGAAACAAGTAAGGCCTGCCTAAATTACTTTCCCTATTTCTATTACACTTTAACCGTATCTCATAACAATAAGTACTTCTGTTAGTTGATACAAGTCCATACGTATAAATGCATCAATGGGTGCACAGAACAAAATGAGAAAGGAAAAGCAGGAAATTGGGCACTAAAACAGGAAATGTAGCCGGCTAAAAAGTAAGAAACACTACAAATATAACTTATAGACTTACAGTAAATTGACGTTGCAAAAAAATGTCATTATGACGTTAGTGAAGTGCAAAGAGAAATAAAGATTAGTTATATGAACTTAATCTTCTAAGATTGTTTCTGTTTTCTTAATGAAACAATTTAGATCCTTCGTAAAAGAATTATGTCTTTCAACTTCCAAGAACTCTTGATAAAAGCATAAATTCTTGCTGTGATCTATTATGAAATGAGTTGCTTAATATATTATTGCAAAACACAACAAACTTACTCACCTGAAAGCTAAGATCACAGCATCATCTCCTATGGTGACCGC